AAAAAAATAGGTACGTCATGTCAGTAATACATAGTAATGAAAATTTGGCGGATGTTTCCATTAATGCCACTGAAACTTGCGCCGTATGTGTTCAAGCGATGGACCACAAAGGCGCCATAGTACGCACACGATGCAAGCCCTATTTTCATCGAAATTGTCTTGTCAATTGGTTAGACAATTCGACAACATGTCCTCAGTGTAGGAAAACTTGCACCAAGAATAGCCTGATTGATATAACGCTTCCTTCAGAGAATAGGTTACAACCACCCGAAAAGCAACAGCCTTTAACGGGCACAGTGCCTCGATTTATTACTTATCGACGAAGTAGATCCGCACTAAGACGAGATCAACATAAATCAGGAAATATGCTCGCAATTTCATTTAAAAACCCCCCAAATCTAAATCTATCGTTGCCGATGATGTCTAATGATTTAGCCAATAATTCTATGCAGGAGCATTTACCTCGCAGCAGCAATTTAGAAAGGCGTATAACAAATATTGAGTTAGAAATACAGAACAGGTTTGAGGTGCTTACGCAGACAATCCAAAATTTAACTCTACAAGTAGGTCAGATAAATGCGCGGCACATAACTGAGCCTGAATGGCCCCAAGAGCAATATCCCGCTGTCCAATCAACTATGTTCCACAGTGCACGGGTAAACAGTAACATAGCTCCTGCGGCAGAAGAAAATGTGAATCGACAGCTCGGAGTTGGGGGACAAAACCATCTCATAAACTATAGAGAGCGCATTTCTATTGCTCCAAATATTGTGAACAATAGCAGTAAAATCGCACAGCTCATTCAAAGTTGGAATATTACATTTAATGGTAGCGTAGAGAAAATGCCGGTTGATAAATTCATTTACATGATTACTTCGTTGACAAACGATAACTTAAATGGAGATTTCAGAGCACTGTGTGAACATTCACACATTTTGTTTCTCGGGAAGGGTCGGGATTGGTACTGGAGGTATCTCCGGTCTGTTCCACGCGTAGAGTGGACACCCTTGTGTGAAGCTCTCCGTTCCCATTTTCGCGATCATCTCACTGGGGGCGATGTGCGGGATCTTGTGCGTGAGCGCAAACAAAAGGAACACGAAAGTTTCGATGTATTCTATTCCTCAATTTTACACTTGTGCGACAGACTTCGCTATCCAATGCAAGATCAAGAACTGCTAGAAGTCTTGAGAAGAGATTTGCTACCCAAAATAAGAAATGAACTTTTCTATAAAAATATACCTTCTGTAGCACACCTACGTTATTTTCTCCCACTAGGATACTAGTGACCTATTAGAAAATAATGTGTTAGATGTTGAGGAGATCGGTAAGGCTCAGTTACGCTGCTGGAATTGTAGGATAGAAGGACATCGGTACGTAGAGTGTTTAGAGGAGCGAATTATCTTTTGTTACGGGTGTGGGGAAGTCAATGTCTTGAAGCCAAAATGTACGAAATGTAAGCCTCAGGGAAACTTGTCAAGGAGCGTGGACAACTCTCGTCTACGGTCGCCTCAGAATTAACTTCAAAACCAAAGGAGATAGTTAATACGTTCGTAGACCAATCAATTCCAATACTGTCAAATCCTACCCATACAGCTTCTTCCTCAAAGCCAATTCCACAATTTCATCATATATTACCATACCACAAAAGCCTCTCAAATTACGAAAGCGTGCGAGCACGATTGTTTACTGAAGCTCTTATGAGGCCAAATAACAAACGTACACGGGTACGAATCAAACGTTCTACTTTCCGATTGCGATCGTTCTGGTCAAAAGTTCGAAGGAACCGGAAAAATTACGTAAAATTTGTGTCAGCTGTTCAGCTTAGTCAAAATGATAACCTTCCTTATATAAGAATTTCTTTCTTTAACATGGATATTTATGCGCTTTTAGATTCGGGTGCAACAATTTCTTGCATAAGTGGAAAAGCCGCTAACGACTTTCTGTTTAGAAAACATCCCTTCAAAATATTGCATGAAAATATAGAAGCAGCTGGTGGACAGAAATACAAGGTAATTGGTAGCGTTCTTGCAGAAATCACTTTTAACAGAATATCTAAGCAATTAGAAATTTTCATAATACCCGATCTACGTCAGGACATGTATTTGGGAGCAGATTTTTTTCACAAGTTCAATTTAATGAATAAAATACTAGAGTCATTTTCAAACGAAGAAAACGAAATTCTAGATATTCCTGACATGCATTTATTGAGCTCCTCGGAACGTGGCCGATTGTCAAATGTTGTCTCCCTTTTCCCGTCTTTTGAAAAGGAAGAATTGGGCAAAACCTCTTTGCTGAAACACACAATTAAAATTATGAGGGACGCAAAGCCGCTTAAACAAATATATTTTTCCGTATCACCTGCTGTGGAAAAGAAGCTGCACGCTGAGATTGACAGAATGTTAGAATTAGGAGTTATCGAGTTAGCTCCCCAAAATTGCTCTTGGAGTAGTCCAATGGCCATCGTCCAAAGGGAAAACAAAGTCAGGCTATGCTTGGATGCACGGAAATTAAACAGCGTTACCGAGAAAGATGCTTTCCCTTTGCCAAAAATAAATGGTATATTTAGTCGATTGCCTACAGCCAGATACATGTCCTCCCTGGACCTAAAACATGCTTTTTGGCAAGTTGAAGTAGAGGAAAATTCCCGTGACATCACAGCTTTCACAGTTCCAAATCGACCATTGTATAGGTTTCGTGTAATGCCGTTCGCAATGCCCCCATGACCATGAGCCGTTTAATGGACATGATTATACCAGCTAATCTAAAGCATTGTGCATTCGTTTATCTGGACGACCTTCTTTTGATCTCAGAGGACTTTTATTCTCATCTTTTACTATTAGCTGAAGTAGCTCAGCTATTGCGAAAAGCCAATTTGACCGTTAATATCCAGAAATGTAAATTTTGTGTACGCGAGGTACGTTACCTTGGCTATATTGTTGGAAATGGTGTCATTAAAACTGATCCCCGGAAAGTGTCCGCAATAATGGATATCAAACCACCCGGAAGTGTTCGGGAAATGCGAAGATTTCTTGGCCTTGTAGGTTGGCGTTTCATCGACAACTACGCCAGTCTAACAGCGCCATTAACTGACTTAACATCTAAAGCACATAGTTTCAAGTGGACAGATGAAGCTCAGTCTGCTATCCAAGCCTTGAAAGAGAAAATTTCCTCTGCTCCTTCGC